TGATCATCAAGACAGATTCACTGGATGGTTTCAGGTCCTGAGTAGAGAGAGTCTGACTGGACGTTGTTACTGGGAGGTGGAGAGGAAAGGGAGAGTTATTATAGCAGTCGCATACAAGAACATTAGCAGAGCATGGTGGAGGAATGAATGTAGATTTGGGCATAATGACAAGTCTTGGGCATTAGATTGTTCCAAAAACAGTTATACATTTTGGCATAACAACATTCAAACTCCTATTTCAAATGTTGGGTCCTCCAGAGTAGGAGTGTACCTGGATCACAGAGCAGGTATTTTGTCCTTCTACAGCGTCTCTAAAACCATGACTCTCCTCCACAGAGTCCAGACCACATTCACTCAGCCGCTCTATGCTGGACTCTGGTTTTACCACAATTTTGGAGACACTGCTGGGTTCATTAAACTGAAATAGACTGAAGTCTTTCATATTGTAGGTTGAAATCTGCATTTTAGTTTCCATTTTATTTTCTCTGCAGCAACATTGTGACATTTCTCCGCTGCACAAAGATCAGCTGTCAGTCAGACATTATGGGTGGTACCTCGGCATCTTGGGTTTTTTTGGTGGAGATCTTTCCTGCCATAGAGGCTACCACTGCTCATTAATATTTTTATCCATAAAAATATTTCTCCACATGAAAATGTAAACTTTTTTTATGCTCCCTGTATTTGTATTGTTTTGCTTCTATTTTGTTTTATCCTCTTCCACTTAATAAACCTTAACATAGAAATCAGCAGATTCCTTCATAACACAATTTTTAATCATCAGTTTGTACATCTTTAAAGATATCTATGATTACATTTACATCTGTCTTTTTGACTAAATATTTCTGTTTTTGTTTTTTGTAGTGTTATTGTAGTTAATTTAATTGAAGTTTTAACAGTAATCAAACACTATTTTTAATGTTTACTTTGTGAAAAACTTAAGATTTTTACTAAATGCAACTCTGTTGTTTCATTCTAAAAATAAATGACATTTCTTTTGATCTGTTTTGAAGACAAAACTTTTCTTTTTTTTTCAAACACAAAAAATGAGGTGTTATGAAAGTATAGCTTTAATGATTCTAGTCATGATGATATAATCCATTGTTTTTAACATGCAACATAGGAAAAAACAAAGATCATTATTATAAAGAAAACTTTGTTAAACAAACTATTTTCTTTTGTCTTTATTCCAGGATCTCACTCAAATCTGCTTGAGAAAATGTGAAACCAATGTGAGAGAATAACTGGAGTAGTTCAGGCACGATGGTGTTAAAAGCCGAACTAAAGTCCACAAACAGGACCATGGCATAAGTTTCCAGGCGGTCGAGGTGTTGCAGGATGTAATGCAGCCACATGTGATATGAGACAAACTTAACTGGAGGACTAATTATAATATATAACAATATAAATATAGTATTTCCTCCTAGAAGAGATGAAAGACACGCTTTTGTGTGGATGAGTGTAGCGTTTTACTTTTCTGAGGGCCTTGCAGAAGCATCACTTGGTTCATAGGCCTTGTCTTCTGAAAAGCTCTGGAATGCTTTACTGAATAAAACAAATGACTTTGCTCATTTGACTTCAGTAAGGCAGACTGAGAAGCATTTCCTTCTAACTGTGAAAAAGCCACAGAGAAATTTGAGAAAAGCAGGATGGATGAATGGAATTACAGTTTATCTGAAATTATTGTTTAGTGCAAATAGTTTAGTGCAAGAAAAATAGTGGAAATGAAAAACATAGTAGCTGCTAGAGTGATTAAAACAGGTCTAAAATGAAGTTCAAGACTGTTAATTTAATTTAGTAAGCACTGGGTCTTCCGAATGTGGATCCATCATCAAAAAAAAAGACAGCATGTGGCAAAAGCAATAACAGAATGAAAAGAATGGGTGTCATTACTTTACATGTTTAGACAGTCTGTTCCAGTTGTGCTGCAGAATTTTCAGACTGTTTAAGTCAATACTTGGCTTGGATCACTGGGGAACTAAAATTCTTTATTCAGGTTTCTGCAAAGCACTGGACTGTTTGGAAGGACTTTTATTTGGACTACGAATGACCCGAGGAGGGCAGCAGTGCGCCAGTTCTACTCAAAATTCTAATAGAAGAAGTATAGCGGAAATGACGTCACTCAAACTGCACAACAAACAAACAACAGTGGTTTGAGAGTTTTTCAAGGTAGAAATCTGCTCGGAGGTTAAGAAACAATCGACCAGGGTGAGATCAACCAGCGCAGACTAAATCCAAGCAGCAGCTCATCACATAAGTGCGTCCCTTTGATTTAAACGGTAAGATTTTATTATTAAACACCGGGACGAAAGAATCTGTGAGAGAAACCTTCAACTCGCACCACGTGGTTACCGTGCAGATGTTGTAGGTTATTTATTTTAAAACTGTGGAACGCGTGGTACTTGGGCTTTTTCTGGTCGTACGCAGGAAATCTCCTTTTTTTTAAAGATTAAATAACATACCATTGTGGAGCTATGCAAAGACAGCACGAGGGCTCTCGAGGCTCTTCTGGGAGCCTAAGTATAGAGCCGAATAGTGGGATTGTAACGCGCTTTGAGGGTCTCGAAAAGCGCTATATAAATGCAATCCATTATTCCATTATTAAGTCGACCATAAAAACGTCTCGCCGAGCGTGAGTCCTCTATGACGAGCTACCTTTCCTTATCGCCAGTGGTCGCGGCCACTATAAAGGGCTGGCGGGCTCGTTTACCTGAGCCCTGAGATCGTGCCGCGATCCCAGCCACCACCGATGAGCCTTTTCTGCGAGTGAACGGCCAGATGTGTGGTAGACCTCCTTTTCAGTAGCCGCTACCGACAAAACAGCAAATAAACACCAAATGTGTCATCTGTGACATTTATAAGGTTACCTCAAACACACTCCCTCAGTCTTGTTGCTCTTGAACAACAAAATGTCGCGAGTTTACCTGGTGATATTCTCGTGCGCGAGGCGATCGCGAAAACGGCAAACAATTAACACCACGCCGATGATGTTCACAGAACAGCAAGAGTAAAGCTTGTCTTCGTTATTGTTCCCCTCGTACGTGTTATTACTCCGATTTCAGCGTTTTCGCTGCACAACTAAAACGTGCAGTTTACTTTGTGTGCACTCAAATGGAGTCGAGTCAACTAGCTCCACCTGTGGCCAAGTGCCATAGCCTACAGCCAGATTCATTTGTTACACACATCTGCACCTATCGCCACGTTTGAATTTGTTTCAAGCACAATAATTGTGGAACTTTCAATTTTGTCTGTTTAAAGCTAAGTTAGTAATATTTATAATGTAATTTCCAAAACTTGGATATGATCTTCAATTTGTAGCAGATCCACTATCACATAGCAGCTGGAGAAGTCTCAAATGAGGCCAGACAATCTATCACACATCTGTTCGACCGACGCCAGTTAATCTGGAACACCGGCAGCGGGGAGTTGGCGAGGCCAATGGATGCATGATGTGATTAGTCGACTATCTCAAAAATAATCGTTTGTGGCAGCCCTCGCTGGAGTACCCAGAGAGAACCGACACACTGAGGAGCAGAACATGCAAATTCCTGAGTCGAATTAAGAATCTTCTTGCTGAGAGGCAACAGTGTTAACCACCATCCCACCGTGGTGATTCTATATTTTTACTTAAGTACAGTTTAAATAATTTACATGATATTAATTCATTATTGTGACTGCAATTATTTCGTAGTTTGAAAATAATGAAAAACAAAACAAAATACTGCAGCTTTAAGCACAAATCAGCAAACAAAGTGAAACAGCTTTTAATTTGAAATTTGGACTCAGATCATAGTCAGGTGGTGAGAAACACTCTAAAATTCTCCATCTAAATATACATTTTAATGATATAATTACTTTTGGTTGTCACTGTGGCAGGTTAAAATGACAAACAGCCAACAACAACAACCTTGAAGCTGGCAGCAGCTACCTGAAAGTTTTTGTATTCTTAATTTTGCTTATAAAAGTATCAGAACTTGAGTCACTCACACGGTGCTCTTGAAACATTTGTCACATTTGTTCATTTTTAATTTCTCCCGTTATCACTTGTCTCTTTTCAAGAATTCTCAAAACAGAATGAAGAGTAAGGATGAGGAGGTTCTCGCAGACCAGCAGGTCTGTAACCAGGAGAGGAGCTCCAGTCTGAAGCAGGAGGACCCAGAGTCTCCTCAGATTAAGGAGGAACAGGAGGAACTCTGCACCAGTCACGAGGTTGAACACATCATGGTCTGGAGCGGGCAGGAGAGTCTCAGACTGCTGGATACCATCTGGAAACCTGAAATAAAGATACAAAGCAAAGGTATGTGAAACTATCAGGAAGGCAGGAACCAGTGAAGCATCAGTGATGTCTGCACTGGGAAGAAGGAAAAGGCGCCTTAATATCTGTTGCTCAGTTTTCTTTTAGGAGCAGTTGACAGTCTCACAAATTGTGGTTTTCTGGAAGCAGAAATGATGTCTCACAATGTCTACAAGGGGTCACTGTAGACCATAGATTTGCTTCATAGCATGTGGCTCGCAAGTTTGCTAATAGTGGGCAGTGTTGGAAAAGTTACTTTTAAAAGGTATTACAGAATATATGTATTTTGTAATGTATTCAGAACTCGTTACTCAGTGAGTGTAATGTATTCTGAATACTTTGGATTACTTAATATATTAACATGCTTTTTACAACTACATGAATTGCTGTGTGATTTATTACTATTACTGAAGGATACTCGCCATACCAGTACCAACTAGACTTTTAAATCTTAATGTAAAATGAGTATCAGTAGGTTGGACATTAGGTACGGCTTCACTTTTTGCTGCGTCTCATATAGAAAACTATTCCGCGCATATATGAAACAGGTCCGTGGCTCCGAACCGTAGTAAAGGGAATCCCGGGGTATTCTGTTACTACCCAACACTGTTGGTAAGGCACAAATATGGCAAAACTAACAACAGTTAAACTAAAAAGCAAAACAGTTCTTTAACCTAATTCCTAATACAGCTGGGTGTAATTGTCACAGGACAGTTCAGCCGCTGCTAGGAAATTAGTGCTAAATAATTTTACCTTTTAAGTATGAAAAGTTTGGAATACTCTATAGATGAGACAAACAAATATTACTAATGTAGGATTCTAATTAGAACTTAAACTTTATTTTCAGGGGTACAGGAATAATTTAAGGCCCAAGCGCAACACGTTTAAATGACTGAAACTAAAAGGAACAAGCTGAAGTGTGTTGGTTGAGAAAGTAGAAACAATCTTGAGTCTAGTTAATGTTGAAACCTGAAAATGAGTTCATATTATGATGCTGATTGGCTTTATTTGTTAATGGATATAAAATCTCTACAGATACAAACCCAATTAAACCCAATTGGACATTGTAGAAGAAAAACAACAAAACAAACAAATATACAAAACATTTGCTTATTTTGAAATTGAAGATAGCAACAGAAAAGTCAGGACGGAGCCATGTTTCCACTGTTTTCTGTCTTCTTTTAACAACAGTTAGTGACCTGAGGAGACCAGCTGCTGTTTTGAGTTTCTTCCCATTTTTCTCTGATATAAGATTCTAGCTGTTGAACAGTCCTGGGTCTCAATTTTCATATTTTTCACTTTCATGCAAAATATTTTCAGTGGATGAAAGAAACATTTGCCATGTCTGCAGGCAGGCCAGTTCACCACCTGGACTCTACTACTACAAAGCCATGTTGTTGGAATAGATGCAGTATGTGGTTTAATATTGTCTAGCTGATGCAAGGCCTTCCCTGAAAAGCCCATCGTCTGGATGGGAGCATTGTTGAGTTAGAAACTTGACGCCCAAGCACCCAGTTTGATAGGAAATTCCATCAGAGAAGAAAGTTTTTGACCTGAGCACTGAGAACAAGCAAGTGATCCTCATCAATCCAAAGGATGCCATGTCCATGTTTTCAAAAAAAAAAAAATCAAATTCTGCTTCAACTGATGACAATTGAGACAAAAAACCTAAAATCCGAGTAGAAAAAAGTTATACTTTTTACTGTAAAAACCACAAACATGTTTAACAAATCATTTTCGAAACTTAAAATGCAAATAGAAATTGTACATTTCTAAAAAATTATGCACACGTTTTGCAAATATCATCGGTACATGGTACTATGTACCTAAAAATGCACACATAAGACTGAGAAGAACACCACAGGTATAAACCCTGCAGGTATGACAACATGAGGCGTATCACTCCTGTTTTCCACATGGAGACAGCGTTTACACTGCAATCTGCCTTTGGTGGCTTTTTTTGGAGCAACTGTGGCATTCACGAGTAGAACTGACACAAAACAACACAACGACTACACTACACCCTAACTATACCCTCCAAACATGCTAAATGTTACAAATCTCTCCCGCATCAAAACTTGCTCTCTCTCTTTCTTTCGCTCGCTCGCTCACTCTGACTCGCCGGTGTCACTCCTAAAACTTCCACCTCTTCCCAAACAACATTGGTCAACATGGTACATTTTTTCACTAATAGGGAAAGAAAGGGGTGTTTTGTCTTTTTCTCTCACAAGATAAAAAGGAGTGTTTGCTAGTGCTGTCCTTAAAAAACACTGTTTTTACAGTTTCTTCCCGCTGCAAACACTACTGTTTTATTCAGAAAAAAACATTCTGTGTATTTTTTATCATACGTCTGTTTTACATGGCCTGTCAACACAATTTAAAAACTGGTATAAAGTTTAAGTCCGCACTTTCGACCCAAGTTGAAATGGAGACTCTGGGTTGTTGCATCTTGTTGCTGTGTTGTCCTAAATTGGTGGTCTGATTTTTGGCGCATCAGCACGTCCGTCGACTCTCAAGCGTTAACCAAGTTGAGCATGCATTTCTACTGTTGAAAGCTAAACTTGGGACAGAAAGGCCTACAAACAAACAAGAACTAAAAGTCACTGCAGTAAAGGCCTGGCAGAGTATTAAAGAGGAGAAAGCAAGCATCTGTATTAGAAATGAACATGATGATTTTTTTCTCACATTTTTATGCCGTGTTTTCATTCAACCTACTGAATTGAAGCTGAAGGTCTGCACTTAAACTGCATCTGAGTGGTTTCATTTAAAATTCATTGTAGTAATGTACAAAATTAATATGTAAGAAAATGCAGCAAGATCTTTTGATTTGTATGTAGCTCCCCAAATTTCAATTTGTTCCGGTGTATCTAAGTGTCAGTATCACTAGCATAACTGTTTGAATTACACTGGCGTACGTGGGCGACATGCTCATAGAGAACTTCTAATAGTTGATGAGATGTTTTGCTTTTGTTTTTTTTAATGTTCGAGTTTTTGGTTTTTTAATTTTATGTTTTTGTCTCTTGAGACTTTTCAGATCAAAAGATCTGTAAGGAGGAAGAGGTTCCTGCAGACCAACAGGTCTCTAACCATGAAAGGATCTCCAGTCTGGATCAGGAGGATCGAAAGCCTCCAGAATTTAAAGAGGAACAGGAGGAACCCTGCACCAGTCAGGAGGGAGAGCGGCTTCTTCTAAAGGAAGAGACTAATACATTTATGGTGACTTCTACTCATGAGGAACCTGAACCAAGCAGTGACTTTCTTTCTAACAACTGTCCTCAGCCAGAGTGGAGCCAAGGCCAGGAAGAAAGTGAGCATGTGCACTCAGGATCAACTACAAATGCAAACACAAAGAGGAGAAATCAGAGAAAGCAAAGTGGAGTAGAGAGCCAGCTCATGTCATATAGTCAGTGTAAGCCTGACACAAGTAGAAAGTCTGTAAAATGTGAGTTTTGTGGAAAAACCTTTCAGTATAAATACAGACTGCTTAACCATCTAAGAGTCCATACAGGTGAGAAACCTTATTCTTGTAGCACCTGTGGGAAACGATTCATTCAGCTGAACGGCTTAAAAACTCACATTAGAACCCACACAGGTGAGAAGCCATATTCTTGTAGCGCCTGTGGGAAAAGCTTTAGTGACGCGTCAGCATTCAGAGTTCACATGAGAATCCACACAGGTGAGAAGCCACACTTGTGTAAAATATGTGGTAAAATGTTCAGTCAGGCGGCACACTTGAAAAGGCACACGAGAATCCACACAGGTGAGAAGCCACATTCTTGTAACACCTGTGGAAAAAAATTCAGTGATATGGAGAGCTTGAAAACTCATATGAGAAACCACACAGGTGAGAAGCCATATTCTTGTAGCAGCTGTGGAAAAAGATTCAGTGACATTGTGTGCTTCAAAACTCACATGAGAATCCACACAGGTGAGAAACCTTATTGCTGTAGCACATGTGGGAAAGGATTCCGTCAGCTGATCCACTTAAAAACACACATGAGAATCCACAAAGGTGAGAAGCCATATTCTTGTAGTCTGTGTGGAAAAAAATTCAGTTGCATTCTGTTCTTCAAAACTCACATGAGAACACACACAGGTGAGAAACCTTATCGGTGTAGCACATGTGGGAAAGGATTCAGTCAGCTGATCCAATTAAAAACTCACATGAGAATCCACACAGGTGAGAAGCCATATTCTTGTAGCGCCTGTGGGAAAAGCTTTAGTGACCCGTCAGCATTCAGAGTTCACAAGAGAATCCACAAAGGTGAGAAGCCACACTTGTGTAAAATATGTGGTAAAACGTTCAGTCAGGCGGCACACTTGAAAAGGCACATGAGAATCCACACAGGTGAGAAGCCATATTCTTGTAACACCTGTGGGAAAAGCTTTCGTCACTCATCAGCATTAAGAGTTCACATGAGAATCCACACAGGTGAGAAACCATATTCTTGTAGCGCTTGTGGGAAAAGCTTTAGTGACGCGTCAGCATTCAGAGTTCACATGAGAATTCACACAGGTGAGAAGCCAAACTTGTGTAACATATGTGGTAAAATATTGAGTCAGACAACAAACTTGAAAAAGCACATGAGAATTCACAGTACATGAAAGTGTCAAAGGTGGAGGAAAGAGTTCAAATGGAGCAATGTTCAAAGCGGAGCTTCACTGCAATGCATGAGGGAAAAGATTACCTCATATTTAGTTCAATTTGGTGTTTTATGTCCGTAACAGTAACAACTGTTTGTTACACTAATTGGCTTGTTACTATGATGAATGTTTTTCTGTAAAGATAACTGTACAGATAACATGTATATATTAATTGTAGACGTTAGTTAATAATTTTTTTACCTAATCAACTTTGTTATAAAAAACATTTATTATTTTTTTATTGCAAACATTTAATTCATCAGTCATTCTGGTTTTCCTACAAAGGATTTGAAATCATTCAAGTAATACCTAAGACCAAAAATCTGGAGTCATTATGGACTGGAAGTCACTTCATGTTGTGATGTTGATTTAGTTAGTTGTGCTTTTTATTTGTGTACATTCTGTAGTATTCATTCCACCTCATTTAATTTCTGTATTTAATGTATATAAGTTTAGATTAGTTATTTATAGTTGGTTTACACAGCTTTGTGTATGTATGTGTATGCATGTGTAATGTATATATAGACGTGTGTGTGTGTGTGTGTGTGTGTAAGTAAGAGAGATTTACATTGCTGTGCTTGAGATCCACCATCTACTGGAACCAAATTCCTTTCTGATTTTTATAGTTTAAAAAAATGTCATAAAAATGATTATAACCAGTTCTTTGCAGTAAACAACATAACAATGTTCTACTTTATTTAGCTTTTTTCCACAATTTGTTTCTTGGTGTCTGACTATGTTTTATATAAATTGAGAAACTATTTATTTAAACTCAGATTTTTACCATGGACTTTTTCACCCAGTGTGCTTGAATTTGGGTTTATTAAAGAAAATCTGTTATACTTAAGCCCAGTACCATGTTCAAATTCTTGGGGAGTCTACAAAGCATTGTAGTTTCACTTGTATTGTGAGAGATGTTATTTTGGGGGGTATTTTATATTCTCGTTTTCACATATTATAGAAATAGAAGTAAATTGAAGAGACTGTTCTCTGATGCAAATGTATGTTGACATGTGTGACTTCATCCCTCAAGTACTGACGCTCACCATGTTGTGTAATGGATGTGAAAACTTTGCCTGTGTTGTTACCACAGGCAAGATGTGCAAAATAATTCAGCAAATTAAAGCATCAGTTTGTTCCATCATCCAGCTTGTTCAATGAAGTCCGATGCTAACTGGAAATAGAGATAATTCGCCTTTCAAAGTAAATTTTAAGAATATGGAAACCATATAAAATTACTTAAATACTTAACACAAATCATATTTCTGACACACAGTCTATGGGTGTAACCTCCAGAGTTACACAACGGTTTTGAATGATCCTGTTATTTAAGCAGAAGACTATCCCACTATAAATGCAGGTTTTCTGTCCTACAGAGGCTCTGAAACCATGACTCTCCTCTACAGAGTCCAGACCACATTGACTCAGCTGCTCTTTATTGGAGACTGAAGTCTTTAATGGTGTAAGAGGTTTAAATTTTCTTTTAGTTTGTCTTTCCATCATTTTCTTTATGCACTGAACATAGATTAGCTGTCAGTTGAACTTTATGGGCAGAGCGCTACCGTAGTTTTATTTTTGTTTTTTTGTCTGCAACTTAATGGAGTTAAACAGAAATTAGCAGAACTTTCTGTTCGTTGATGTGATTGGTGTGGGGGTAGGGACAGGCTTAGGGCGTCGGGGGATTCCCCAGGAGCATCTTCCTTGG